TGAGGGAAAGCTCGGGTCCTTAGTAAAGATGGGAGAACATGTAACGAGGTTTCATTCATTAGCTCTATGTGGAACAGGATTAAGAAAATGCTTGAAGGCCGGGCGCGGTGGCTCAAGCCTGTAATCCCAGCACTTTGGGAGGCCGAGGTGGGTGGATCACGAGGTCAAGAGATCGAGACCATCCTGGTCAACATGGTGAAACCCCGTCTCTACCAAAAATACAAAAAATTAGCTGGGCATGGTAGCGCGTGCCTGTAATCCCAGCTACTCAGGAGGCTGAGGCAGGAGAATTGCCTGAACCCAGGAGGCAGAGGTTGCGGTGAGCCGAGATCACGCCATTGCACTCCAGCCTGGGTAACAAGAGCGAAACTCCCTCTCATAAAAAAAAAAAAAAAAAAAAAGCCGGGCGCGGTGGCTCAAGCCTGTAATCCCAGCACTTTGGGAGGCCGAGGCGGGTGGATCACAAGGTCGAGAGATCGAGACCAACCTGGTCAACATGGTGAAACCCCGTCTCTACTAAAAATACAAAAAATTAGCTGGGCATGGTGGCGCCTGCCTATAATCCCAGCTACTCAGGAGGCTGAGGCAGGAGAATTGCCTGAACCCAGGAGGCAGAGGTTGCGGTGAGCCGAGATCGTGCCATTGCACTCCAGCCTGGGTAACGAGCGAAACTCCGTCTAAAAAAAAAAAAAAAAGAAAAAAAGAAAATGCTTGAAGCCGAGTGCGGTGGCTTAAGCCTGTAATCCCAGCACTTTCGGAGGCCGAGGCGGGTGGATCACAAGGTCGAGAGATCGAGACCATCCTGGTCAACATGGTGAAACCCCGTCTCTACTAAAAATACAAAAAACTAGCTGGGCGTGGTGGCGCGTGCCTGTAATCCCAGCTACTCAGGAGGCTGAGGCAGGAGAATTGCCTGAGCCCAGGAGGCGGAGGTTGCGGTGAGCCGAGATCGCACCATTGCACTCCAGCCTGGGTAACAAGAGCGAAACTCCGTCTCAAAAAAAAAAAAAAAAAGAAAATGCTTGTTTAGACAGGATGGCATTTATCACCATGAAAGTGTAATAACCTAACCTGGGTTAGCCTAACTGACTCCATCTTAGCTGCAAACCTGAGAAGCTCTGTTGAGCCTTTCCCTCTCTGCCGAGGCCCCCTCCGGTGCATTACTGGGTCACCTGTTGCACTCAAAGCTTTGAACTGCACTCAAAGCTTTGAAGGGTTAAAAGTGGTTCACAGCACCTGTAACCACTGTAACCACATCCTGCTTCCCAAGTCTATCTGCTATTGTGAATCCCTTCCTTGGTGATTGATTGTATGGAAAGTTCCCCATGCTATCCCCCTTAGTGATTGTATAGAAATACCCTTAGCAACTGGCCGGGCGCGGTGGCTCAAGCCTGTAATCCCAGCACTTTGGGAGGCCGAGGCGGGTGGATCACGAGGTCAAGAGATCGAGACCATCCTGGTCAACATGGTGAAACCCCGTCTCTACTAAAGGTGCAAAAAATTAGCTGGGCGTGGTGGCGCGTGCCTGTAATCCCAGCTACTCCGGAGGCTGAGGCAGGAGAATTGCCTGAACCCAGGAGGCGGAGGTTGCGGTGAGCCGATATCGCGCCATTGCACTCCAGCCTGGGTAACAAGAGCGAAACTCCGTCTCAAAAAAAAAATAAATAAATAAATAAAAATAGAAATACCCTTAGCAACTAACAATCCTGGGAACTTACTGTCCCCTGGTTACCAGCTTCCTCATCTAACTTCCTGTTCTGCTTCTGTAAAATTCTGCCTCAGCCAGGATCTGGCTCCCCTACCTAAATCAAGGTATAAAAGATAATCAGGCCCCTTCCTTGGAGCCAAGAGAACTTTGAGTATTAGCCGAGGTCGCCAGCTAAGAAAAAGGATTCTTAATTTGGAACTCAGTGTGTGGTACATTCCTTCTAACTCGCTCGGTTATTACTAAAGCTCTGAAACAAAAATTATTGGGAGATACCTGTTCTCTAGGGTGATAAAGGCTACTCTAAATTGTTATTAAAAATTACGGAACATAGAAGATACCTGTATCTTTTTTTTTTTTTTTTTTTTTTTGAGACGGAGTTTCCCTCTTGTTACCCAGGCTGGAGTACAATGGCGCGATCTCGGCTCACCGCAACCTCTGCCTCCTGGGTTCAGGCAATTCTCCTGCCTCAGCCTCCTGAGTAGCTGGGACTACAGGCACGTGCCACCATGCCCAGCTAATTTTTTGTATTTTCAGTAGAGACGGGGTTTCACCATGTTGACCAGGATGGTCTCGATCTCTCGACCTCGTGATCCACCCACCTCGGGTTCCCAAAGTGCTGGGATTACAGGCTTGAGGCACCGCGCCCGGCCAGATATCTGTATCTTGAAGGCAGCATAAAACTGATTTTTCTGTATTGTTAAATTCAGACTATAATTTTCTTTCTGATGGACAATATCTCAGCAGTGATGCTTTCTTCTTCAGTGTACATCAGCACATCATAAAACATTGTCCTGTGCCTGCAGCAGCCTTGGTTCGTATCTGAGTCGTGGCACCAAAAAAAAAAAAGAAAAAAAAAAAGAAAAGAAATTGTCCTAGCACAGTTGGTTTTAAAATTTACTTAGTTGCCGGGTGCGGTGGCTTATGCCTATAATCCCAGCACTTTGGGAGGCCGAGGTGGGTGGATCACAAGGTCAGGAGATCGAGACCATTCTGGCCAACATGGTAAAACCCTGTCTCTACTAAAAAAAATACAAAAAATTAGCTGGGCATGGTGGTGCATGCCTGTAGTCCCAGCTAGGGAGACTGATGCAGGAGAATTGCTTGAACCCAGGAGGCAGAGGTTGCAGTGAGCTGAGATTGTGCCACTGCACTCCTGCCTGACACCTGGTGGCAAAGCCAGACTCTGTCTCAAAAAAAAAAAAAAAAAAAAAAAAGAAAAAATAAGAGGCCAGGCGCAGTGGCTCAAGCCTGTAATCCCAGCACTTTGGGAGGCCGAGGCAGGTGGATCACGAGGTCAACAGATCGAGACCATCCTGGTCAACATGGTGAAACCCCATCTCTACTAAAAATACAAAAAATTAGCCGGGCGCGGTGGCTCAAGCCTGTAATCCCAGCACTTTGGGAGGCTGAGGCGGGTGGATCACAAGGTCGAGATATCGAGACCAACCTGGTCAACATGGTGAAACCCCGTCTCTACTAAAAATACAAAAAATTAGCTGAGCATGGTGGCACGTGCCTGTAATCCCAGCTACTCAGGAGGCTGAGGCAGGAGAATTGCCTGAACCCAGGAGGCGGAGGTTGTGGTGAGCCGAGATCGCGCCATTGCACTCCAGCCTGGGTAACAAGAGCGAAACTCCGTCTCAAAAAAAAAAAAAAAAAATTACAAAAAATTAGCTGGGCATGGTGGCACGTGCCTGTAACCCCAGCCACTCAGGAGGCTGAGGCAGGAGAATTGCCTGAACCCAAGAGGTGGAGGTTGCAGTGGGCCAAGGTCGCACCATTGCACTCCAGCCTGGGTAACAAGAGTGAAACTCCGTCCCAAAAAAAACTAAAAATAAAAAATAAAAATAAAATTTACTTAAAGAGCTCTCTCTAAAATATATATTTCACTATAGAGTTACTTATATTTCTCCTCATTATTAAGTTTATTTATGTAGCTAAAGAGCTGTGCGTAAAGCATCACATCATTTAATCTGGCAGCTGCCTTTCTTGTTTTGTTTTGTTTTGCCTATCTCTGTCTTTGGAAAATGAAGACTCTTTGTTTACAGGTCAGAATAACTGGGTAAAACACAGGATGTTTGTTTCCACTTACTGGATATTTGGCAAAATACTCTTGTGCCAAACACATTGGCATTACTAGTGAGCTTGTTAGAAATTCAGAAACTCATATACAATTGAATAAAAGAGCTTAGGGACTGGAAAAGGAAAAAGAAAGAAATTTAGAAACTCAGACTTTATTTTAGATCTTCTGAAAAGAAAAATATGCACAAGATCGCCAGTTTAATTTACACATTAAAACGTTAAGAGGTGCCTTTTTTTTTTTTTTTTTTTTTTTCCTTTGAGATTGAGTCTTGCTCTGTCGCCCAGGCTAGAGTGCAGTAGCACCATCTTGGCTCACTGCAACCTCCATCTGCTGTGTTCAAGCAACTTTCTGGCCTCAGCTGTCTGAGTAGCTGGGACTATAGATGCCTGCCACCATGCCTGCTAATTTTTTTTTTTTTTTTTTTTTTTTTTTTGAGACAGGTTTCGCCCTTGTTACCCAGGCTGGAGTGCAATGGCGCGATCTCGGCTCACCGCAACCTCCGCCTCCTGGGTTCAGGCAATTCTCCTGCCTCAGCCTCCTAAGTAGCTGGGATTACAGGCACGTGCCACCATGCCCAGCTAATGTTTTGTATTTTTAGTAGAGACGGGGTTTCACCATGTTGACCAGGATGGTCTCGATCTCTCGACCTCGTGATCCACCCGCCTCGGCCTCCCAAAGTGCTGGGATTACAGGCTTGAGCCACCGCGCCTGGCGCCTGCTAATTTTTTGTTATTTTTAGTAGAGATAGGGTTTCACCATGCTGACCAGGCTGGACTCAAAACTCCTGACCTCGTAATCTGCCTACCTCAGCCCCCAAAGTGCTGGGATTACAGGTGTGAGCCACCTCACCCTGCCATAAAAGGTGCCTTCTAATTCAACATGTTTTTTCTGTCTGAAACGTATGGACAATTCATTCTTTGTGATGCAAATATAGCACTAAAAATGTACATGTTTGTGCTTATGCCTTTAGTTTTATACTTTATCATTCATAAAAGTATTATATATACTGGTGTTGTGGATCTTATGCCATTCTCTTTTCTCAGAGTTAGAGAATAAATTAGATACTATTTCTGTGTTAAAAACCGTTGGATAATTTTAGTCATTTCTGTAAGTCAGAACCAATTTTCTTTACTCTTTCATTTAATCTTAACTTAATAAATTCCACCCATGGACACTTGTAAATGTATGTGCATGTTGTGTGTGTTTCAGGGGTCGTTGACATTTAGGGATGTGGCCATCGAATTTTCTCTGGAGGAGTGGCAGTGCCTGGACACAGCACAGCAGGATTTGTATAGAAAAGTGATGTTAGAGAACTACAGGAACCTGGCCTTCTTAGGTGAGAATAACTTTAATACACAATTCCTTGTATATCCTAAAGGTTTCATTTCTGTTTTCTGTTTTTCTAAAATAATTTTTTTTTTTTTTTTTTTTTTGAGACTGAGTTTCGCTCTTGTTACCCAGGCTGGAGTGCAATGGCACGATCTCGGCTCACCGCAACCTCCGCCTCCTGGGCTCAGGCAATTCTCCTGCCTCAGCCTCCTGAGTAGCTGGGATTACAGGCACGCGCCACCATGCCCAGCTAATTTTTTGTATTTTTAGTAGAGACGGGGTTTCACCATGTTGACCAGGATGGTCTCGATCTCTCGACCTTGTGATCCACCCGCCTCGGCCTCCCAGAGTGCTGGGATTACAGGCTTGAGCCACCGCGCCCGGCTCTAAAATAATTTTTGATAATTTATGCTTTCCATAATGAATTTCTAATCCCTGTTTTCAAAAAATCTCGAACTGTCCATGCAGAAAAAACTTAAATGTTTTATCTTGGCCTTAACCTTTTACATTCCTGAGTTGGTCCGTATCCTTTACTCTACAATAGTGGCAATTTCAGAAATTTAGTGGTATAAAATATTGTTGCCCCTATGTAATTCTACTTGCCACCACTAATTTTTGACTCATGAGTACCAGGTAGTAAAATTAAGAACTTACTAATTTAAAATATTTTCTAAATGTTAAGAATTTTCTGTCATTAATAGTATTTTGGGATTAATTTTCTAGATTATTCTATGACATCCTCTTTACTAAGCACGATACTAGATTGATAATTTGAGAATATGAGCAAGATTCATGTAATTTGTTTTTAATAAAGCAGGTATTGCTGTCTCTAAGGCAGATCTGATCACCTGTCTGGAGCAAGGAAAAGAGCCCTGGAATATGAAGAGACACAGTATGGTAGGCAAGCCCCCAGGTAGGTGAGAGTGAATAAAACAGTTGACATAGTTGAAAGGTTGGAAGATTTAAAAAAAAAAAAAAAAAAACAGTCCCTACAATGTGTTTTCGGAAGCTGTGTTCCAAAGCAGATAGTTTCTGGGAAGCCTGAGGTGTGTGTTTGTTTTGTTGTTACTGTTCTCACATAGGGCCATGTTCTCTCTTACACTTTCAAATTCTCGAAGCAGTCTACTTTTCCTTCATTGATCTTCCTTCAGGTTTACAGTGAGAGCCAAAGTCCTCTTCACGGCATATGAGTTCTCTTTTTGCATCATGTATAAAGTGTGTGTGAGTAGTGGTCCCTATTCTACAGCTAGTGCTCGACCACGATTGGTTCCGACAGACCGGTCGTAACACGATTTGGTCGTAAGTTGAGTAAGCTGTAAGTACAGTTGAAGTGGTCCACGCGGAGATGGTAGTGCTGCCAGAAGCTGGTCCACACTGTTGTACGCCGAGCTGGGCAACGTTTGTGCTGCCAGACGCGGAGCAGTCGTGGCTAGCGGTTGTGGTAAAGTCGAATGGTCGTAAGTTGCATAGGTCGTAAGTCAATCAATATCTGTATTGGCTTTTTGGCTTTTTTTTTTTTTTTTTTTTTTGAGACGGAGTTTCACTCTTGTTACCCAGGCCGGAGTGCAATGGCACAATCTTGGCTCACCACAACCTCCGCCTCCTGGGTTCAGGCAATTCTCCTGCCTCAGCCTCCTGAGTAGCTGGGATTACAGGCATGCGCCACCATGCCCAGCTAATTTTTTGTATTTTTAGTAGAGACGGGGTTTCACCATGTTGACCAGGATGGTCTCGATCTCTTGACCTCGTGATCCACCCGCCTCGGCCTCCCAAAGTGCTGGGATTACAGGCTTGAGCCACTGTGCCCGGCCTTTTTTTTTTTTTTTGAGATGGAGTCCTGCTCTGTCACCCAGGCTGGAGTGCAGTGTTATGATCTCAGCTCACCGTTAACTTTTGCCTGCCAGGTTCAAGTGATTCTCCTGCCTCAGCCTCCCAAGTAGCAGGCACCACTGTGCCTGGCCTGTAGTATTTTTTCTTTTTTAGTCCCCTCTCTCAAAAACGTCCTGTAATGTGTTTTCAAATCAGAAACTGTAATGCCTTTATCATTGTTTCTTCTTTTGAAGACTGTTGGGTACTTCATCGCCTTTTGAGATTCCATATACTCAAGAGGTTGCTATTTTTTTTTTTTGAGACGGAGTTTTGCTGTTGTTACCCAGGCTGGAGTGCAATGATGCCATCTCGGCTCACCGCAACCTCCGCCTCCTGGGTTCAGGCAATACTCCTGCCTCAGCCTCCTGAGTAGCTGGGATTACAGGCATGCGCCACCATGCCCAGCTAATTTTTTTGTATTTTTAGTAGAGACGGGGTTTCACCATGTTGACCAGGATGGTCTCAATCTGTTGACCTCGTGATCCACCCGCCTCGGCCCCCCAAAGTGCTGGGATTACAGGCTTGAGCCACCGCGCTCGGCCTGAGGTTGCTACTTTTATTACCTCAAAAATGGAATGAGAAATTTTGAAAAACATTGTGTTTATTCTGTACATTACATTGAACATTATAAACATCTTCAAGGTATTATTTCAACCTTCGAAAAAGAGCATGCTGATCAGTGTGTTTTATGTCTATGTATTGGTACATTTTTAGTTTTTTGTTTTGTTTTATTTTGTTTTTCCATTTGTTTTAGTGGGGGTGGAGTTTCACTCTTCTTGCTCAGGCTGGAGTGCAGTGGAACAATTTCAGTTCATCAAAACCTCCGCATTTCCGTTTCTACTGCCTCAGCCTTCTGAGTTGCTGGGATTACAGGGATACACCACCACATACAAACTTAGTTAAAGCCTAGATAAGTTTGTATTTTTAGTAGGTACAGAGCTTCTCCATGTTGATGAGGCTGGTCTTAAACTGCTGACCTCAGGTGATACTCTGCCTCAACCTCCCAATGTGGTGGGTTTACATGTATGAGGTATACTCCCAGCCAACACATCACTTTTACCTTGCAGCTCCTAACATTCTCTTTTCTGTGACTTTTAAAATAGTTAATTTTTTTTTTTTTTTTTTTAGATAAAGTCTCAATCTGTTACCAGGCTGGAATGTAGTGGCATGATCTTGGCTCACTGGTTCAAGCAATTCTTCTACCTCGGCCTCCCCAGTAGCTGGGATTATAGGCGCCTGCCACAATACTCAGCTAATTTTGTATTTTTAGTAGAGAAGGAGTTTCACCATGTTGGGCAGAATGGTCTCAATCTCCTGACCTTGTGAACAGCCCACCTTGACCTCCCAAAGTGCTGAGATTACAGGTGTGAGCCACCACACCTGGGCTGTTTTTATTTTTTTATTTTTTTTATTTTTATTTTTTATTTTTATTTTTATTTTTTTTGAGACGGAGTTTCGCTCTTGTTACCCAGGCTGGAGTGCAATGGCGCGATCTCGGCTCACCGCAACCTCCGCCTCCTGGGTTCAGGCAATTCTCCTGCCTCAGCCTCCTGAGTAGCTGGGATTATAGGCACGTGCCACCATGCCCAGCTAATTTTTTGTATTTTTTTAGTAGAGACGGGGTTTCACCATGTTGACCAGGTTGGTCTCGATCTCTCGACCTTGTGATCCACCCGCCTCGGCCTCCCAAAGTGCTGGGATTACAGGCTTGAGCCACCGCGCCCGGCCTGTTTTTATTTTTTTAAGTATTTTAAATGTTTTTGTTATTTACACTTTTCTGATTGTTTATAGTTCTCTGTGTTCACAGTTCACTCATTATTATTTTTAATTTTTAAAATAAATGTACACATCAATTTTTATTTCTGAAAATTTTATGTTTTTCTCAAAAGCACATTGCCCTTTTGTATATACATTTTAATCTTTTCTTAAAATTTGAACATTAAAGTTAATGTGTCCCAATCTTTAAAATATGGCTATCTCCTGACATACTTTGAATAAATGTCTGGGTCAGAGATTCTAAGAGTCTCTCAAACATGTTCTTAGAATGTGTCTTGTCTAGGCCAGGCACGGTGGTTCAAGCCTGTAATCCCAGCACTTTGGGAGGCCAAGGCGGGTGGATCATGAGGTCAAGAGATCGAGACCAACCTGGTCAACATGGTGAAACCCCATCTTTACTAAAAATACAAAAAAATTAGCTGGGCATGGTGGTGCGTGCCTGTAATCCCAGCTACTCAGGAGGCTGAGGCAGGAGAATTGCTTGAACCTAAGAGGCGGAGGTTGCGGTGAGCCGAGATTGCGCCATTGTACTCCAGCCTGGGTAACAAGAGTGAAAATCCGTCTCAAAAAAAAAAAAAAAAAAAAAAAATTAGGGCCTTTGCTATTTTGCTATGCTATCTTATTTATGTAGTTTGTATGATGTTATAGGTTAGATTTATAATGTATATTTATCTCAGCCTAGTAAGTGAAGTAATTTGTTATTTTTATTTCTTTCAGTTCTGTGTTCTCATTTTGGCCAAGACCTTTGGCCAATGCTGGGCATAAAAGATTCTTTTCAAAAAATGGTACTGACAGAATATGAAAAATGTGGACATAAGGATTTACAGTTAAGAAAAGGCTGTAAAAGTGTGAATAAGTTTAATGTGCACAAAGAAAGTTATAATGAACTAAACCAGTGTTTGACAGCTAAAAGAAGCAAAACACTTCAATGTGATGAATATGTGAAAGTCTTTCTTAAATTGCTAAATTCAAATAGACATAAGACAAGACATACTGGAAAGAAACCTTTCAAATGTAAAAAATGTGGCAAATCATTTTGCGTGCTTTTACACCTAAGTAAACATAAAAGAATTCATATTAGAGAGAATTCTTACCAATGCGAAGAATGTGGAAAAGCTTTTAATTGGTCCTCACACCTTACTAAACATAAGACAATTCATACTGAAGAGAAACCTTACAAATGTGAAGAATGTGGCAAAGCTTTTAAACAGTCCTCGAACCTTATTAATCATAAGAAATTTTATACTGGAGAGAAACCCTACAAATGTGAAGAATGTGGCAAAGCCTTTAGTGTATTCTCAACCCTTACTACACATAAGATAATTCATACTAAAGAAAAACCCTACAAATGTGAAGAATGTGGCAAAGGGTTTATCCTATTCTCATTCCTTACTAGACATAAGATAATTCATACAGGAGAGAAACCCTACAAATGTGAAGAATGTGGCAAAGCCTTTTCCTGGGCCTCAGCCCTTCGTACACACAGGAGAGTTCATACTGCAGAGAAATTTTACAAATGTGAAGAATGTGGGAAAGCTTTTAAGGATTCCTCAACTCTTAATAGACATAAAATAATGCATACAGGAGAGAAACCCTACAAATGTGAAGAATGTGGCAAAACCTTTTCCTGGGTCTCAGCCCTTCGTACACACAGGAGAGTTCATACTGCAGAGAAATTTTACAAATGTAAAGAATGTGGGAAAGCTTTTAAGGATTCCTCAACTCTTAGTAGACATAAAAAAATTCATACTGGAGAGAAATTCTACAAATGTGAAGAATGTGGAAAAGCTTTTAATCGGTCCTCACACCTTACTAAACATAAGATAATTCATACTGAAGAGAAACCTTACAAATGTGAAGAATGTGGCAAAGCTTTTAAACAGTCCTTAAACCTTACTAATCATAAGAAATTTCATACAGGAGAGAAACCCTACAAATGTGAAGAATGTGGCAAAGCCTTTACCCTATCTTCATACCTTACTGCACATAAGAGAATTCATACTGGAGAGAAACCCTACAAATGTGAAGAATGTGGTAAAGCTTTTAACCGGCATGCACACCTTACTAGACATAAGAGAATTCATACAGGAGAGAAACCCTACAAATGTCAAGAATGTGGCAAAGGCTTTACCCTATCCTCATACCTTAGTAGACATAAGATAATTCATACAGGAGAGAAACCCTACAAATGTAAAGAATGTAACAAAACCTTTAATGTATTTTCAACCCTTAGTAAACATAAGATGATTCATACTGGACAGAGACCCTACAAATGTGAAGAATGTGGCAAAGATTTTAAACAGTCCTCACACCTTACTAATCATAAAATAATTCATACTGGAGAGAAACCCTACAAATGTGAAGAATGTGGCAAAGGCTTTACCCTATCCTCATACCTTACTAGACCTAAGAGTATTCATACAGGAGAGAAACTCTACAAATGTGATGAATGTGACAAAACCTTTAACTAGTACTCATATCTTACTAAACATAAGAAAATTCGCACTGCAGAGAAACCCTATGAGTGTGAAAAATATGGCACAGCCATTAACTAGTCCTCAGTTCTTAAAAAATGTGAGATAATTCATACTGGAGAGAAACTCTACAAAGCAGAAACATGACAATGCTTTTAACAACACCTCAAACTTTTCTAACTTTTCAAACAGTAAAAGAAATCATGTTGGTGAGATATATTGGTTATAACAATACATTCAACTCTAAAGGACGTGATAGAAATTAAGTAATACATAATGAATTATTTTTTCTTTTTTTTTTCTTTTTTTTCTTTTTTTTTTTTTGAGACGGAGTTTCGCTCTTGTTACCCAGGCTGGAGTGCAATGGCATGATCTCAGCTCACCGCAACCTCCGCCTCCTGGGTTCAGGCAATTCTCCAGCCTCAGCCTCCTGAGTAGCTGGGATTACAGGCATGCGCCACCATGCCCAGCTAATTTTTTTGTATTTTTAGTAGAGACGGGGTTTCACCATGTTGACCAGGGTGGTCTCGATCTCTTGACCTCGTGATCCGCCCGCCTCGGCCTCCCAAAGTGCTGAGATTACCGGCTTGAGCCACCGCGCCCGGCTTCTTTTTTTTTTGAGACAGAGTGTCGCTCTTGTTACCCAGGCTGGAGTGCAATGGCGCGATCTCTGCTCACCGCAAGCTCTGCCTCCTGGGTTCAGGCAATTCTCCTGCCTCAGCCTCCTGAGTAGCTGGGACTACAGGCACGCGCCACCATGCCCAGCTAATTTTTTGTATTTTTAGTAGAGATGGGGTTTCACCACGTTGACCAGGATGTTCTCGATCTCTCGACCTCGTGATCCACCCACCTCGCCCTCCCAAAGTGCTGGGATTACAGGCTTGAGCCACCGCGCCCGGCGTTATTTTTTCTTTTCTTTTTTTTTTTTTCTGAGACGGAGTTTTCGCTCTTGTTACCCAGGCTGGAGTGCAATGGCGCGATCTCGGCTCACCGCAACCTCCGCCTCCTGGGCTCAGGCAGTTCTCCTGCCTCAGCCTCCTGAGTAGCTGGGATTACAGGCACGCGCCACCATGCCCAGCTAGTTTTTTGTATTTTTAGTAGAGACGGGGTTTCACCATGTTGACCAGGATGGTCTTGATCTCTCGACCTCGTGATCCACCCGCCTCGGCCTCCCAAAGTGCTGGGATTACAGGCTTTAGCCAACCCGCCCGGCACTGAATTATTATTATTCATGAACTGGCATTATTAATAGTTAAATGTTTGTATTACACAGAATGGTCTACAGATATAATGCAACCTCTATGACATTACCAGCGACATGCTTCGTAGAAAAAGTATGAGGTAGGTCTTCAGAGTAATATTCTGCATTATGAGAAGAAAATTTTACATATTTTTATGTAATTTTTTAAATTGTATAAAATTTTATATAACCAGAGGTCCAAATATATATTTCATTTTATCCAATTTTATATTTTTATCATAAATACTTTAAAATACTTTTTAAAAAGTATTTTTTAAAAGTATGTCAAAATTTAAATAAATTTAAATGATTAAAAACAATAAAAATTTAATCTACAGAAACAATATTCTTTTTTTTTTTTTTTTTTTTTTTTTTTTTTTCTTTTCTTTTTTTTCTTTTTTTTTTTTTCTTTTTTTTCTTTTTTTTAGGCTATTGTTACCCAGGCGGGAGTGCAATGGCGCGATCTTGGCTCACAGCAACCTCCACCTCCTGGGTTCAGGCAATTCTCCTGCCTCAGCCTCCTGAGTAGCTGGGATTACAGGCACGTGCCACCATGCCCAGCTAATTTTTTTGTATTTTTAGTAGAGAAGGGGTTTCACCATGTTGACCAGGACAGTCTCGATCTCTTGACCTTGTGATCCACCCGCCTCGGCCTCCCAAAGTGCTGGGATTACAGGCTTGAGCCACCGCGCCCGGCCAGAAACAATATTCTTTAACTTATTTGCGGTTGAAGGCCACTGGCACAAAAAAAATCACTAGAGATGTTCATCCATTATGCTGCTTTTAACATAGTTACCATCTTTTACCTACACCATTGAGTAAAGTGGTAGAGGATAAAGTTTGTGGCATAATAACACCTCACTGCATGTGAAATGCTATTTAACATCTTGAAAATGTTGAATTGCACTATTAGTTTCACAATCTAAAATTTTTAAAAAGTACTGCATCTTTATATAATTTTACATATTTTATAACTATATAATTTTTAAAATTGTATAAAATTTTATATAACCAGAGGTCCAAATATATATTTCATTTTATCCAATTTTATATTTTTATCATAAAATGTTAGAAAATTTAATATTTTATAAAATTGTTATAATGTTATACAAATGTATGTAATATATAAAAGTAGAATTAGTACAAAAATACAATACCAGTTTGATTTGTAAAATAATTCAACATGTTTTCTTCTCATAATGCAGAATGTTACTCTGAACACCTACCTCATATATCACTCAATATTATAACCTAACCCCAAAGAGCCTCTCAAGTTAGATATTCATTATGTAGCTTACATTTTAATATCTTTAGTTTTCTATAGAAAAGATCATAAATAATGCCACCTATTAAAAAACAATCTCTTGATGGAGTCACTGGCTCACACCTGTAATCCCAGCACTTTGGGAAACTGAGGCAAGCAGATCACCTGAGGTCAGGAGTTTGAGAGCAGCCTGACCAACATGGAGAAACACTGCCTCTACAGAAAAATTAGCCAAGCAGGATGCTGCATGCCTGTAATCCCAGCTACTTGGAAGGCTGAGGCAGGAGAATCACTTCAACTCAGAAGGCACAGGTAGGAAAAAAAAAAGTTGTTTTTTGTTTTTGTTTTGTTTTGTTTTTTTTTTTTGAGACGGAGTTTCGCTCTTGTTACCCAGGCTGGAGTGCAATGGCTCGATCTCGGCTCACCGCAACCTCCGCCTCCTGGGTTCAGGCAATTCTCCTGCCTCAGCCTCCTGAGTAGCTGAGATTACAAGCACGTGCCACCATGCCCAGCTAATTTTTTGTGTTTTTAGTAGAGATGGGGTTTCACCATGTTGACCAGGATGGTCTCGATTTTTTGACCTCGTGATCCACCCGCTTCGGCCTCCCAAAGTGCTGGGATTACAGGCTTCAGCCACCGCGACCGGCCAAAAAAAAAGTTTTTAAAAGCCAAGCCCAGCCATGGATTTGTACCATAGAATACCTGAGTTGGGTGAATTTCTCTTCTCTTGAGAATTCAAGATAAACCTGGAGCTCATGAATTTTTCAGAAAGTGATATTTTTTACTTACCACAGGTCAGAAATCCTGATCTGTGGTAAGTACAAAATGTCATAGTACAGAGACTGTGTAGGCAAGATTTCAGTTTTCCCAAGGGGCTATTATTGACTCCATAAGTCAAGTTTGATTTTTTTTTTTTTTTTTTTTTTTTTTTTGAGACGGAGTTTCGCTCCTGTTACCCAGGCTGGAGCGCGATGGCGCGATCTCGGCTCACCGCAACTTCCGCCTCCCGGGTTCAGGCAATTCTCCTGCCTCAGCCTCCTGAGTAGCTGGGATTACAGGCACGCGCCACCATGCCCAGCTAATTTTTTTTATTTTTAGTAGAGACGGGGTTTCACCATGTTGACCACGATGGTCTCGATCTCTTGACCTCGTGATTCACCCGCCTCGGCCTCCCAAAGTGCTGGGATTACAGGCTTGAGCCACCACGCCCGGCCAAGTTTGATTTTTTTAAGAAACAAGCCGGGCAAGGTGGCTTATGCCTGTAATCCAAGAATTTTGGAGGCCAAGGTGGGCAGATCACCTGAGGTCGGGAGTTCAAGACCAGCCTGACCAACATGGTGAAACCCCATCTTAAAAAAAAAAAAGAAACAACACCATGCCAGTCAAAGCCTGGGTAACATAACCAGTTTCTCCAATTGTGCCCTGTTAGTTATAAAAACCAGATTACTGGCCAGGCGCAGTGGCTCATGCCTGTAATCCCAATGCTTTGGGAAGCTGAGGTGGGCAGATTATGAGTTCAATAGATTGAGACCATCCTAGCCAACATGGTGAAACCCCATCTCTACTCAAAATACATAAAATTAGCTGGGCATGGTGGCACGTGCCTATAATCCCAGCTACTCAGGAGGCTGAGGCAGATGAATTGCTTGAATCCAGGAGGCGGAGGTTGTGGTGAGCTGAGGTCACACCACTGCACTCCAGCCTGAACAAGAGTGAAGTGCATCTCAAAAAAAGAAAAGAAAGGGCCAGGCGCGGTGGCTCAAGCCTGTAATCCCAGCACTTTGGGAGGCCGAGGCGGGTGGATCACAAGGTCAAGAGATCGAGACCATCCTGGTCAACATGGTGAAACCCCGTCTCTACTAAAAAAAAAATACAAAAAATTAGCTGGGCATGGTGGCGCGTGCCTGTAATCCCAGGTATACAGGAGACTGAGGCAGAAGAATTGCCTGAACCCAGGAGGCGGAGGTTGCGGTGAGCCGAGATCGTGGCATTGCACTCCAGCCTGGGTAACAAGAGTGAAACTCCGTCTCAAAAAAAAAAAAAAAAAGAAAAGAAAAGAAAGAAAGAAAATAGGTAGATCCTAAAGCAGGCCAGGTTTTTTTCTGTTTTGCCTTGCTTTATTTTTGTTTTTTTCTTGATAGAAAAGATTTCAAACTGAAGCAGGCCAGGTTTTGTTCTGTTTTGCTTTGCTTTTGTTTTTGTTTTTGTTTTTTAATAGAAAAGATTTCAAACCAAGGACGTCTCCTCTAATGTAACTCTTAAAAAAACAAATACCGGCCGGGCGCGGTGGCTCAAGCCTGTAATCCCAGCACTTTGGGAGGCTGAGGCGGGTGGATCACGACGTCGAGAGATCGAGACCATCCTGGTCAACATGGTGAAACCCCGTCTCTACTAAAGATACAAAAAATTAGCTGGGCATGGTGGCACGTGCCTGTAATCCCAGCTACTCAGGAGGCTGAGGCAGGAGAATTGCTTGAACCCAGGAGGCGGAGGTTGCGGTGAGCCAAGATGGCGCCATTGCACTCCAGCCTGGGTAACAAGAGCGAAACTCCGTCTCAAAAAAAAAACAAAAAAAAACAAATACCAGAAGTCCTTGTTTCCACTTTACAAAATTCATAGTTCTGCTATTCTACAGCGGGATT